GAGTCACTGGTGCCCAGCTAATCTATTCTTTTTCTTTTTGCTGACACTGGGGCTTGAACTCATGGCCTCCTGCTCTTGCTGGGCTCTTTCACTCAAGGCCCTTTAGTACTTGAGCCACACCTCCACTTCCTCAAATTGATTCTTTCAATAAAATGTACTGACACCCAGCATAGTACCTGATACATAGCTGTTGACTAAATCCATTTCACACTACCTTGTGCTTTGTACTGAGTGTACAGCACTCAGTGAATATTTGTCCTATGAATAATAGAACTGTCACTTAGAACAATGCCAGTTAATACCATATACCAGAATTTCTGGGGGGTGAATACTGTGTACTAACTACTGCTTGAGTCCTGATCGCTACTTACTAGCCTGATGACCTCAGGCAAGTCTCCTAATTGTGTTCAATCTCATCCTATGCAAAAAGGGGATAATCATAGGGCCTTTTTAAATAAGGCTATTTAAACACATTGTAAGAACCAATAAATGGAATTTGTAATCATTTTAGCTCCACTTAAGACTGAGTTTTCTTGTAGGCCTTTACTCTGGTAGAAGACAAAAACCAAAACCACACTGGATGCCGGTGGCTCACACCTGTAATCCTAGCTACTTGGAGGCTGAGAGTTGAGGACTGTGATTTCAAGCCAGCCCAGGCAGGAAACTCTGTAAGCTCTTATTTCCAATAAGCTACTTTAAAAAGGCAGAAGTGGCACTATGGCTCAAGTGGTAGAGCACTCACCTTGAGCAAAAGACGCTCAGGGACAGCCTCCAGGCATAGAGTTCAAGCCCCAAACCCCCCCCCCCAAAAAAAAGACCAGTTGGGACTCAGGTCATTGAACAGTTCTCATATTTAGCTCACTCCAGGACTCTGAGTCATTTCATTCAGCAGCATCTTCCCTAACTCATAATCTTGACTAATGACACAGACATGTCACCTTAATGTTTGTGCAGCCCAGTAACTTATTAAGGGCTTAGCAATCTTCAGATGAAAAGCACCCAAAGGCAGACACCAGATACCCTTAGTCAGTTATAAGAGTAATAGCAACACACACACACACCACCACCACCACCACCACCACCAACAACAACAACAACTTGGGAAATGCATAGGCTACAGAACAGAGAATTAAAGTAGGCATTTAGAAATGAGAGCTGGCGCCAGTTGCTCACACCTGTAATCTTAGCTACTCAGGAGGCTGAGATCTGAGAATCGAGATTCAAAACCAGCCGGGGCAGGAAAAGTCCTTGAGACTCTTATCTCCAATAAAGCACTCAGAAAACCAGAAGTGGCACTGTGGCTCAAGTGGTAGAGCACTAGCCTTGAGCTGAAGAGCTGAGTGAGGGAAGCACCCAGGCCCAGAGTTCAAGCCCCGAGACTGACCAAAAAAAAAAAGTAGGCATCTAGAAAAATGAACTGATAGATTGTCTTGCATTGCTGGACCATGGAACCAGAGCCTTATGTGTATTTATAAGGGCTCTACCACTTAAACTACACTGCTGTCTGGAAGAGAAAGATTTCTGAAAACCTCAAAGAGTTGTAGGGAGCCAAGAGGGAAGGATATCCAAGTCTTTAATGTGAGTTGGGGTGTGGGAGGAGTCTAATTCTTTCACCTCTTCTAAATAAAAACCAGAGCAACAACATGTATTGTTACCCTAATTAATTTAAACCAATTAAAATGCTTGGGCCCCGATAAGTAGCTTGTTTATAAGTTGTAACAGCTCTAGAATTATGCCAAGCTCCCTTCCCAAAGGCACGTTTCTGGTTCCCAAGAACCTATTACCCTCTCAGGCAAGACATCCTCTTCCTAGACCCGGAAGTCAGTCCAAGGAAGGGCCCTCAGAGGTGTGTGCAGATTTCAGGCCCCTTGGCACAGAAACCAAGTTGAAGAAAACAGCCAGCTGTGCAAGACACAACGTCTTACAAGGTTGGAATGAAGCAGCAGCAGCTACCCTATCTGTGAGTCTCTCCTCCCCTGCAGGTTGAACTTGGACAATCCTAAGTAGAGTTCTCTCATTTCACAGCCTTGACACTTTAGACTAATGTTGTTTCTTGACCTTTGCTGGCTTTAGTTTCCTCCTAAGGCCTAACATTAAGGCCGAAAAGTGAACGAGAAAAGCCAATCAGAAAGAGTTGCAGCCCCCTGCAAAGCGTTCTGCAGAACACGTTAGTCACAGGTCCTCCCCCAACGCCCCCTTCGGTGCACGTGACCAGCCAGCAGCCACCACCAGCGCAGTCTCCCCCCTCCCTCCCGCCCCCGACTCCTGAGGAATCATGGGCTGTGAAGTCCTTTGGTAACTACACCCTCGTGGACTGTCAGGGAAATGAGAACTACAACTCCCAGGATTCCTGGCGAAGGTCGCTGCCGTCACCTCCCTCTTTCCCGCCCCCTCACGCGCTGTTTTCTGGGATAGGTAGTCCTAGAGCCTGAGAACTGTGCGGCGATCTGCTCCAGAAAAAACACAAGCCCCAGAAGCCTTCGCGCCACTCTTTTCCCCTCCCCTCTTGAAGTCGGAGTGCTGTTTTTGTTGTTGGTGAAAGGTGAGGGGAACAGCTGATCCGGTCTGTGGGGTAAGAAACTTGGCCTAATTGGGAGAGTGGTCCTACGGGAGGGTCACCCGACTTTTCAGTCTGGCGAAAGGACAGTCTAGGGGAACTATAGAGGGAAGATGCAGGAGCGTTGGGGTTTTAATCCTTTCCGTCTAAAGAAGCCATCACTACGTTTCAGGGGCTGTGGGTTTTCAGGGGGCCTTAAGCCGGCAGAGTGGGGGGCGGGGAGCCCCCGCAATTATCTTCACATTCTTCTTAGGCCTTCGTTGTGAAATCCGATACGCTTAGACAAGTTTGAGGGGGGTCAGAATCGTTCATTCTCTTCCAGGCAAGTCTTGGCCCTCAAAAACTGTCCCTCTCTCACCCATATCCAAAGGCCTTTACGACGTTGAATCCCTGGAGAGGGCAGGATGAGGGGTGCTTCCAAATGCTAAGGGAATCTAAAGCCTTACAGGGTGGAAGACAGACACCCCCCCCCCCACACACACACACACACTATGAACACCTGAATCTACAACATACATCTACTTTCCATACCCTGAACTTTCAGACATGAAAGACATTTCTCTGTGGATATTATTTGGGGGTTTCCCTAGGTGTAGAGCTTAGTGAACAGTTCACTCCCCACTTCTTGCTGAAGAGCTGTATTAGGGAGGGAGGGAGGGAGAACATAAATTATTCGTTTTAGCCAGGGATTTTTCAGTGTTGAAAACCCAGAGAGTGTCTCTGTCTCTGTCTTCTTCAATTCAGTCTGTCTTGGGGGAAGAAGTCTCTCCATTTTGTATTGCTGGCCCACCTTCTCCACTGAGTTTCTGATTTCTTTTAAAGTTCCTCTGCCACCCACTCAGCCTGGTGTGGGTTTGTGCTGCTTGGGGGCGTGCACATGGCTAGTAGTGATGGCTGATTGGACACCTCGGCTGCAGCTGACACAGGAAGCAGATTAGTGGGCTGGAGAGAAGAGAAGAGGGCGGGCTCATAGCCCTAGGCTGAGGAGTACGCTTGTTTTTATTATCTGTCCGCACCCCACCCCCAATATTTTCCTATTAAGTCTCTCTGGCTAACTTGGAACATCCCTTCCTCCCAAGCCTATTGTCTAGCATATCTTCAGCCACTAATCCAAGCAGATGACAAGACTCGGGCTCTTAAATTTAAGACTAAAAGGAGCGGCAGAAAATGGAAAGGGAAATAGTGGAGCTAACATCCAGTCAGACCGGGCGGTTTCTACACCTGTTTCTGGCAGGATCTGGAAAGAAAAAACATTTTTGAACTGTCTTTCCCTTTTCTCAACATTAAATATACATTTCTCCTTCTTGAGGCCTCTTACTTCTCTCCTTGCAGTCTGTACCCTGCCTAGGGGTGGGGCTTCCCTGGCTTCAGGCCCCCACATTCCATCTCTGAAACCATACCACATGTTCCTGCTGAGGACTTCACTCCACCCTTGAAGCTGCCGCCTCCAGAATTCTTGACTTCCTGGAATAATCAAATTATAGGACAGGAAGTGTCTTCCCTTACATCTTTTCCCTTTATCTCTTGAATGAGAGGAGAAACTTTCTGTTTCTCTGGAATTCATAGTAGACATCTTAGAGACTAGGAGTGAACTAAGAGTTTAGGAGTCAAGATTACAGTATTGGTTCTCCATGACACTTTCTAGATTCCACCTTTAAAGAGTTAACAGTTCCCGCTTCAGAGATGAGTTTTCTGCTTTCAGGTGTCATAACTCATATCTGGGTAGAGTTGGGATAGTAAGCTCAGGAATAGGTAAGGAATAACTGCTCAGAATTAAAGAGCCCCACACTTGAGTTGGATTTTTTTTTTTTTTGCCAGTCTTGGGGCTTGAACTCAGGACCTGGGCACTGTCTCTGAGCCTCTCTGTGCTCAAGGCTAGCACTCTACCAATTGAGCCAAAGCTCCACTTCCACTTTTTCTCTTTATGTAGTACTAAGGAATCAAAGCCAGGGCTTCATGCATGCTAGGGAAGCACTCTACTAATCAGCCACATTCCCATCCCTTCAGTTGGATTTTAAATGAAAGAGTTAGAAGATGTGGGGAATGAAATGGGGCAAGAGAATTTGGAATGCTCTAGGAGAATAGAATGTGAAAAGGGAAGACTAAGGGGCAGAACCTAGGACACTGAGACTTGGTCAGTGGAACAATAAAGAGGAGTTGAAGTTAGAATTGAAGAGCCAGAAAGAATACAGCATGACACAGGCTGGGAGTTCACATAAAAAGGCTAGACATAGGTCCTAGAAATTAAGAATGATACCTTTAACCTAGCACTGTTGGCTTACGCCTGTAATCCCAGCTACTCAAGAATCTGAGATCTGAGGATCACAGTTCAAAGCCAGCCGGTGCAGCAAAGTCCATGAGACTCTTATCTCCAATTAACCACCAGAAAACGGGAAGTGGGGCTGTGACTCAAGTGGTAGAACACTAGCCTTGAACTGAAGAGCTGAGGGACAGCGCCCAGGCCCAGAGTTCAACCAAAAACAACATCAACAACAACAACAAAAAACTCCCTCAGCAGCTGGAAATCAGGTATGTGCTGATCCCCATGTGTAAAGGTAGGCTGTTGGAGGATGGGGATAGAGTTCGGGGGAGGGAGCCATAATGGAGAAACTTTAGGATATCAACCCTTTCCTTCATAGGCAGGCAGATATCTCAAAGGCAGAATGGAAGAATCATCACTAAGCCGGATACCATCCCGGGGTGGAGTCAACTTTCTAAATGTAGCCCGGACCTACATACCCAACACAAAGGTGGAATGTCATTACACCCTCCCCCCAGGCACCGTGCCCAGTGCCAGTGACTGGATTGGCATCTTCAAGGTATGTCTTTGGGTTCAGGGTTTTGGGACACTGGTTGGTTGAAATATGGGGAATGACTAGGTTGATAGAGAGGAAGATGGCACAGATGACAGAGGCCATATGTAGAAGCAAAAGGCATCTTCTTTCTCTCCTACCCTCGCTTTCTCCTGACATTACTGTCCCTTTACTTACTTTATCTCTTATCCCTGCCACCATAACACCATCCTCCTCCCTCATTCAATCTCTCTGCCTCTTCTATCATCCATAAATGGTAGACCCATCTCCTTACGCCTCTCCTACCTTACATTGTCACAGGTGGAAGCTGCCTGTGTTCGGGATTACCACACTTTTGTATGGTCGTCAGTGCCAGAAAGCACAACTGATGGCTCCCCTACTCATGCCAGTGTCCAGTTCCAAGGTACAAAGAAAGATGGGAACGTTGGAGGGAGGAGCCAAGGGTTTAAGCCAAGGCTTAAAGGATGGTAGTGGGCTTAGGAACACAAAAGGCGCAGAAGACAAAGAAAAGTATAAATGACGTCAGAGCCAGGTATGGCCGGTAGTCCCAGCTATTGGGAAAGCTGAAACAAGGAGATTACTTGAGCCCAGGAATCCAAGGCTGGTTTGAGCAATATAAAGAGAACCTATCTCAAAATAAACAAGTAAATAGTCATTACATCAAATACAGAGCCATGGGGTTCTCATTGAGCCAGATAAAATAGATAGTTAGAGAGTAACTGGTCCTACCACTTACCCAAAAAAGGAGAAACTCTTCCCTTATGGAACTAGGGGTAGGAAAGAGGGCAGGGTAGAAGAGGGTGGTCATACGATTCCAAAAGACCTATCTTAATACAAAGCACTCATATTTACAAGCTATTTGGACTTGGGTAGATGACTAAACCTCTGTGTGACTATTAACAGTAAAATGGGATGCCAATTTATAGGGACAGTAGGAGGACTTGAAATGCTACAGGTAAAATCATTCATGCAATGCTTGCCACATGGTGGGCACTCAATAAATGGCAACTAGCATATACTATGAGGATGAGAGAAGGGAAGAGGTTTAGGAAAAAGGAAACAGAAGGCTAAGGAGACAGGAGGAGGAGAGTATCCTACAGAACAGAAATAGCCTATAGGAGGTGGAAGGGGGAAGCAGTATAGGAGACAGAGCCACAGACAGTGGACATTGTGGCAATCTAAGGAGAACAGGGACCTGCTGAGACTTGAAAGTCTGGGATCATATTAAGGTCCTCAGTCCATTCTTCTTCCTACAGCTAGTTACCTGCCCAAACCAGGAGCTCAACTCTACCAGTTCCGATACGTGAATCGCCAGGGACGGGTGTGTGGGCAGAGCCCCCCCTTTCAGTTCCGAGAGCCAAGGCCCATGGATGAGCTGGTGACCCTGGAAGAAGCTGATGGTGGCTCTGACATTCTGCTGGTTGTCCCCAAGGCCACTGTGCTACAGGTAAAAAAAGGACAACAGACTTGTAAGAACTTCATGTAGACGGCAACATATGAAGCAGGAAAGCAAGCTATCCCCAGGCAAGCGTAACTTCCTGCCCTAGAGGAAGAGCTACAAGGTAGAGGGAGGCCACTCCAGGGAAGAGAGAATGGGAGCTGCCTACAGAACAAGGGAGGAGAGGCAGCAGATTGGTCCCAGCCCTGTCCTGTCTATTCAGCACAGAGACACTACCCATATATGGCTCTTAACAATTGAGGTACATCACTGGCAAGATAATTGCTGGGTGAAGACAGTATTAACAAAACAGATTGTAAAAGAGCTCAATGATTTGTAAACTGATTACACGATAAATATGATAATGTGAATTTGACTGGGTTAAATAAGGTATTGTAAAAATGTGCATCACGTATTTCTTGTTACTTTTTAGAAATGGCAGCTAGGGGCTGGGAAGGTGGCTCAGTGGTAGAGTGCCTGCCTCGCACGCATGAGGCCCTGGGTTCAATTCCTCAGCACCACATAAACAGAAAAATCCGGAAGTGGCTCTGTGGCTCAAGTAGTAGAGGGCTAGTTTTGAATTGAAGAACTCAGGGACAGTGCCCAGGCCCAGAGTTCAAGCCCCACATCCAACCAAAAAAACAAAAGAAAGAAAGAAATGACAGCTAGGAGCCAGGCACCGGTGGCTCATGCCTGCAATTCTAGCTATTCAGGAGGCTGAGATCGAGGACCACGGTTTAAAGCCAGCCCGGGCAGGAAAGTCTGTGAGACTCTTATCTCCAATAAACCACTAGAAAACTGGAGTTGGCGTAGTAGCTCAAGCAGTAGAGCATTCGCCTTGAGCTGAAGAACTCAGGGACAGTGTCCAAGCCCAGAGTTCAAGCCCCATGACCAACAAAAATAAATAAACAAAAATAAAAAAAAGAATTGCCAGCTAGGAAATTTAAACTTTCATGTGAACCAGGCACTGGTGGTTCATGCCTGTAATCGTAGCTACTCAAGGGGCTGAGATCTGAAGATTGTGGATCAAAGCCAGCCCAGGCAGGAAAATCTGTGAAATTCCTTTTTTTTTTTTTTTTTTTGTCTTTTCTTTTTTTGGTACTGGGTATCAAACCCAGGACGTTGCATTTACTAGGCAAGCGCTTTGCCACTGAGCTACATCCCAGCCCAAATCTGTGAAATTCTTATCTCCGATTAACCACCAGAAAATCTGAAGTGGCACTGTGGCTCAAAGTGGTAGAACACTAGCTTTGAGCAGAAGAACTCAGGGACAGTGCCTGGGCCATGAGTTCAAGTCCCACGGCTGACCAAAAAACAAAATTTTTTTTTTTTTTTAGTTGGTGGTGGGCTTGAACTCTGGGCCTGGGTACTGTCCCTGAGCTCTTCAGTTCAAGACAGTGCTAAACCACTTGAGCCACAGCACTATGTCTGGTTTTCTGGTAGTTAATTGAAGATAAGAGTCTTACAGACTTTCCTGCCTGGGCTGGCTTTGAACCATGATCCTCAGATCTCAGCCTCCTAAGTAGTGAGGATTCCAGGTGTGAGCCACTAGCGTCTGGCCAAATAAATTTTTTCATGTGGCTTGTATTACTAGTGGATGAGATAGAGAGGAATTAGGGAATAGAGGCAAATATTAGCAAGGAAGACTTCCTCAGTGAAGGTGAGGGTCAGGGACCTGTAAGGAGGTGGTAATTTACTTCCTGAGGAGCTCCATAGATGAGAGTGGATAGCCTTTCTATAATACGGACAATCCTGCCTTCTAGAACCCCAAGCCTCACACCAAGCCTCCCCTGCTCACCCTTTTGCATCTCATTCCATCACGGCTTCCCAGTGCTGAAATGTATCTAGAGAGTAGCCAGACCTTAGAACAGGTGCCTCACAGGCACACTCCTCTCACCTTGTCACCGTAGAACCAGCTGGATGAGAGCCAGCAAGAACGGAATGACCTGATGCAACTGAAGCTGCAGTTGGAGGAGCAGGTGACAGAGCTGAGGAGCCGGGTGCAGGAGCTGGAGCCAGCCCTGGCCACCACCAGACGGGAGCATGCAGAGCTCACAGAGCAATACAAGGTAAGAATCAGGCCTTGGAGGGAATGGGAGCTGAGGGCGCACTCAGAGTCCAGAATCAGAAGAGAGGAAAGGAGAGATATTCGCTGGCTTTTAAGATGAACTTAGGTCAGACATTGGTGGTTCATGCTTGTAATCCTCAGGAGGCAGATATCTGAGGATTGTGGTTCAAAATCAGTCTGGGTAGGAAAATCCATGAGATACTTTTATCTCATTAACTAGCAAAGGCCAGAAGTAGAGGTGTAGCTCAAGTAGTAAAACACCAACCTCGAACCTGAAAAGCTAAGGGACAGTGCCCAGGCCCTGAGTTCAATCCCCAGTATTGGCACCAAGAGAAAAATAAAAGACAATCTTGACATCAAAGAAGTAGGTTTCTGAGAGAGAAAGGGGATTACCTCCCCTATAAAGTGGAGATGGCCATATTCCCAGGTAAAGCCATGGCCCCATACATTTCCTTTTGAAGAAAGGTGGTAGACCAGAGCTAGAAGTGATCCAGTGCTTTTGTGTTCCTGTGAAACTTCTGTCCTGCTCTTTGAGAGATGAATTTCACCCTCTGTCTCCTTCCTTTGGGACTTGAATTCCAGGGGCTTTCTCGGTCCTATGGGGAGCTCACAGAGGAGAGGGACATCCTGAGCCAGCAACAGGGAGATCACGTAGCGCGCATCCTGGAGCTGGAGGATGACATCCAAACCATCAGTGAGAAAGTGCTGACAAAGGAGGTGGAGCTGGACAGGTGAGCCCCGCCCCTTCTATCGCTTCTCATTTCCGGTGACCTCCACACTCCAGCCTCCTGTTTCAGACACCTGCTTTCTGTCTCATCTGGTTTCTGCATCCTTTCTCTCCCTAGGGGTAATCCTCTTACTGGAGATTCTTTCTGCTGATTCTCTTCCATCTTTCCTGATGCTATGCTGTGTTTCCCACCTTCAGAAACAATCGTAGTTGCCACTTACTGCAGCAAATGCTAAGCAGAACTAGTAGTGAAGGATTTGGAAGAAGAGATAGGCTAGAACATGTAAGATAAGAGAGGATGGATTTCAAATTTTACTTGAGGATGGTATACCTCTGAGTCTCAGCTACTTGGGAAGCTGAGGCAGGAGGATAGGGTAGCTTGAGCTCAAGAATTTGATGACAGCCTGGACAACATAGCCAGACCCTGTCTCAAGAATATTTTTAACCACAGGAGAGACACAGATTCTATTCTCATTACTAAGAGATGTTTAGCTAAAGTTAGAGCTCAGTGATAGAGCACTTGCCTAGATTGGCTTTTAATGTAAGACTGGCTTGCAATCCCTGGTACTGGAAAAAAGAAAGATTGGGACTGGTAATCCAGAAGTGTTATGAAATCTCTCTCTCTCTCTCTCTGTCTCTCTCTCTCTCCCCTCTCTCTCTCTCTCCTCTCCCTTTTCCTCCTTCTCTTCCTCTCTCTCCCTTTCTCCTCCTCTGTCCCTCTTTCTTCTGTCCATCTCTTCCTCTCTCCCTGTCTCATGCCAGTACTGCGGACTGAACTCAAGGCCTGTGTGCTGTCCCTTTTCTTTTTTGTTCAAGGCTAGCACTCTTTCACTTGAGCCACACTTCTACTTCCAGCTTTTTCGGTGGTCAATTGGAGATGAGAGTCTCAAATACTTTTCTTCCTGGGCTATTTTTGGAACTTAGCCTCCTGAGTAGCTAGGATTATAGATGTGAGCCATCATGCCTTGGTGATTCTGATCTCTTGAGTGAGTGAAAATAGCCAGGGAACCATGAACAGAACATTCCTTAAAATGCTACATAAAGCAAAAGGTTAAATGGCTTGTATTTAGATCATACTCTAGAGCTAGAAACTATGGGTTCTTGAGATTTTGAACTAGATTCTCTGGTGTGGGGAGTTGAGCATTCCAGAAGTGTAGGTCTAGGCCTTGAAGGGCACCAGTGGAAGAGCACAGAACAAAGGTCTGAGTCCTCAGTCCTTCTCTGGATTACCAGATGATCCAGCATGTTGTCCCCACTCACAGGGTTAGAGACACAGTGAAGGCCCTGACTCGGGAGCAGGAGAAACTCATGGGCCAGCTGAAGGAAGTGCAAGCAGACAAGGAGCAAGGTGAGGTAAGCAGAGCTGCTTTGCTTTCTCAGTTGTTCCGCCTGTGCTCATCAAGGATTGTGAGGTCAAGGCCATTTTTGGCTGGTAAGCCATTGTCTAAAAGCAGAAATAGGCCAGGTACTGGTAGCTCATGCCTGTAATCCTAGCTACTCAGGAGGCTGAGATCTGAGGATCACAGTTCAAAGCCAGCCCGGGCAGGAAAGTCCATGAGACTCTTATCTCCAATAAACCACTAGAAAATCAGAAGTGGCACTGTAGCTCAAGCGGTAGAGCTCTTGCCTTGAGCTGGGACAGCGCCCAAGCCCAGAGTTCAAGCCCCGTGACCAGCAAAAAAAAAGAAAAAGAAAAAGAAATAGATAAACATGGGGTAAAAGAAAGGAAGAAGAGCTGGGTGCTGGAAGCTTACGCCTGTAATCCTAGCTACTCAGGAGGCTGAGATCTGAGGATCACAGTTCAAAGCCAGCCCGGGCAGGAAACTCCATGAGACTTATCTCCAATAAAAAAAATTAAAAAAAACACTAGAAAACCGGAAGTGGTGTTTTGGCTCAAGCTTGCCTTGAGCTGAAGAGTGCAGGGACAGCGCCCAAGCCCAGAGTTCAAGCCCTACAACCGACAAAAAAAGAAAGGAAGAAGAAAAAGATGCATGAACTAGCCTACTGCTTCCAACATTTTACTTCTAGAACACTTCTTCTCCTGCCCTGAATGAAGTTTTACATCTTATGTGGGAACCTCACTGTTTAAATCAATAAAAGCAGCATTTAATTTTAGCTTATGAATTCAAATGTAATGCATGTACTTATCAAGTAATGAAAGCAATTAAGTGGCTGGGCATGGTGCTATATGCCTATAATCCCAGCATTCTAGAGGCTTAAGAGATCAAAAGTTTGAGTCTGGGTTGATGTGTGACCCTATCTAAAAAAGAAAGGCAAGCCGGGTGCCGGTGGCTCATACCTATAATCCTAGCTACTAAGGAGGCTGAGATCTGAGGATCATGGTTCAAAGCCAGCCTGGGCAGGAAAGTCCGTGAGACTCTTATCTCCAGTAAACCACTAGAAAACCAGAAGTGGTGCTATGGCTTAAGCGGTAGAACACTCCTTGAGCTGAAGAGCACAGCACCCAAGCCCAGAGTTCAAGCCCCAGGATCAATCAGAAAAAAAAAGGCAATTAAATAAATAAATATAAATATATATGTGTGTGTATACACACATATATACATATATATACATGTATGTATACATGTATTATAATGTGTGTGTGTGTGTGTGTGTGTGTGTGTGTGTGGTTATAGGAGCTTGAATTCAGGGCCTGGGCACTGTCTGAGCTATTTCGCTCAAGGGAACCTGGCTAATTATTTTTGATGGATACCAAACTTTAAAATTAGAGATAATGAATGTTCTGTCAGCATTAATAATGAATGTATTTCTGCATTTTGTTTGGTTGTACAGTATTGCACACACTTGAGTTGCACACAAGTAGGTACAAATAATCACATATTTTAAACTGTTCACCTTGCAATCTGTTTATAGGTTTCTTCCATAAAAACATAATAGACTTTTTTCTGAGGTTATTTAGAAGCACACATTGATGAATTAGTGATTTCTATTATGTTAACTTGAGCACTTAGGTAATTTTTTTTTTTTTTTGGTTGGTTGTTTGGATTGAACTCTGGGCCTGGGCACTGTCCCTAGCTCTTCAGCTCAAGGCTAGAGCTCTACCACTGGAGCCACATCGCCACTTCTGGTTTTCTGGTGGTTTATTGGAGATAAGAGTTTCACAGCTTTTCCTGCCCAGACTGGCTTTGAACCATGATCCTCAGATCTCAGCCTCCTGAATAGCTAGGATTACAGGTGTGAGCCACCAGTGCCCAGCTTAAAATTAGGTTTTGTTTTGTTTTGTTTTGTCAGTTGTGGGGGCTGAACTCTGGGCCTGGAGGCTCTTCAGCTCAAGGCTAGCACCCTACCACTTAAGCCACAGCGCCACTTTCGGCTCTTTTTCTGCTTATATGATACTGCGGAATCAATCCCAGGGCCTCATGCATGGAAGGCAAGCACGCTACCACTGAGCCAACTTCCCAGCCCCTGATGTTTTCTTAAAAAACTATTTACAGAATGTTAATCTGATTGCCTTGTGGAAAATAAACTAGTTTTGAGGTTATTCAGTCATCTAAAAAATAACTAAAACCTGAGTTAATGTGGCAGTAATAGGAAAAGAAAAATGGCTTTGTCCAAGATGGAAGCTGGCTTTCCTGTGGGCATTGGGGAGAAAACAGTGCTAAGCCTAGCACCAAAATATCCAGCCTGGGCAACATGGTAAGTAGAAATGAGACTTGAAAAGATAAGGCAAGTCCAGGTATGGTGGCTTAGCCTGTAATCTCAGCACTCAGAAAGCAGAAGTCAATGGATCATGAGTTTGAGGCCAGCCTATGCTACTGGGATGAGAGGTAGGAAATGTAGAATATGCTGTGTTTGAAAGGCCTGTAGAACATTCAAACTGAGTTTTGATTTAAACAGAAAAGGAGGAAGGTAGAAGTGGAATGGGGGTCACCTACATCTAAGACCCCAGACTGTGATGCTTATGGCAGCTGGAAACCAGATGTTCAAAAGCAAGTCCCTTTCGGCTGCAGACTCAAGTGCTTGTAAGCTGAGTGCCAGTGGTTCACACCTGTAATCCTAGCTACTCAGGAGGCTGAGATCTAAGAACTGTTGTTCAAAGCCAGCCTAGGCAGGAATATTGTAAGACTCTTACCTCCAGTGAACTGTCAAAAAACTGAAAGTGGAGGCTTGGTTCCAAGGGGTAGAGCACTAGCCTCGAATACAAAAGTTGAGAAACAAGCACGCAGGCCCTGATTTTAACTCCAAGACTGGCACCAAAAAAAAAAAATTGATAAGTACTGGCAAGAACCAAATGCTTAAGTGTGTGTTTAATCTAAGAGATGGACCTTAACATTTCCCTCATCACAACAACAGAGGTCACTTGCTTCCTAGCCTTTTCTTACCTACTTTCTGCTGCCATCAGGCCGAGCTCCAAGTGGCACAAGAAGAGAACCATCGCTTAAACATGGAGCTGCAGGAGGCCAAGGGCCAACAGGAGGAACAGAGTGCTCAGACCCAGCGACTGAAGGACAAGGTGGCCCACATGAAGGACACCCTCAGCCAGGCCCAACAGAGAGTGGTGAGTGAAGACCCTCAGACAGCAGGAAGCGGTGCAAGGTCCAAACGCTAGTTATAGAAGTATTTGGATGTTCATAGACAAGGGTCAAAAACATGACTACTCGAATAGCACTGTTCTGAATGCTATTGCATTTGGGATGGGAGAGAGATGGTTCATGAGTGATTCACTGGGAACACTGATCTCTGTCCCCTTTCTCCTGAGGCTGAGCTGGAGCCCCTGAAGGAGCAGCTTCGCGGAGTTCAGGAGCTTGCAGCTTCAAGCCAGCAAAAAGCTGCTCTTCTCGGGGAAGAGTTGGCCAGCGCTGCAGGAGCAAGGGACCGCACCATAGCTGAGCTGCACCGCAGCCGCCTGGAGGTGGCTGAAGTCAATGGCAGGCTGGCTGAGCTCAGTCTGCACCTGAAAGAGGAAAAGTGCCAATGGAGCAAGGAGCGGGCCGGGCTGCTGCAGAATGTGGAGGTAGAGGGCAGTGGGAACTGTCAGTCTCACCTACATGTGATCAGGCCCTCCTGGAGCACGGAAGCAGAGGAAGCAGGTGCTAGTGGCTCATGCCAGAAATCCTAGCTATTCAGGAGATCTGAGGATCACAGCTCAGACAGCCTGAGCAGTCACGTCCATAGATAAAATTGGAGATCTATCTCCCATTCACCAGCAAAGAAAGCTAATGAAAGTGCCAGCCCGGCCAAGTGCCAATGGCTCATGCCTGTAATCCTAGCTGCTCAGGAGACTGAGATCTGAGGATCATGACTTGAAGCTAGCTCATGCAGACTCTTATTTCCAATAAACTGCCAAAAAGTGAGAAGTGGAGCTGTGGCTCAAGTGGTAGAATGCTAGCCTTGAGCAAGAAAAACTTCAGGAACAACACCCTAGGTTCTAAGTTCGAACCTCATGACTGGCACCACCCCCCTCCTCGCAAAAAAAAAAAAGATCCAGTTTCTAACACACACACACACACACACACACACACACACACACACACACACACACACACACACACACACACACACACACACACACACACACACGAAGAACCTCAGAGGACTTGGACTTGGGGGAGCACCTTCAGGGAAGGCACCCTTCGCCTTCAAGGATATAGTTAGGACTAAGTCTTCATCACCATAACAACTTCCTTAGTTACCAGTCTTAGTTGCTATCTTTAGTCTTCCTTAGTTACCATCTTCTTGGTACAGGCCATGATGCTCATTGCTGATCAGCACAGCAGCTTGCTGTCTGTCATGCCCTCTCCTGCATTCAGGGAGTGTGGGAAATGAAGAAGGCACTAAGGGGAAATAGCTCCGGAACAATCCAGTCCAGTAAATGAAGAGATGCAGTGAGGAATGGCACTGTTCCAGTGGCATCCCTTTTTCCTCACCTCTGCCCTCTCATTCTCTTTTATGACTATCTCCAGGCAGAGAAGGACAAGATCCTGAAGCTGAGTGCGGAGATCCTACGGCTAGAGAAGGCAGTGCAGGATGAGAGAAGCCAGAGCCACATGCTCAAGACAGAGCTGGCCCGGGAAAAGGACTCTAGCCTGGTGAGACTCCAGGCCACTAGGGGTCCGATAGTGCGTCCTGAGCCAGAGTGGTCCCCTCTCTCTTCTCTCTCCTCTCTCTCTCCCTCTATCCTCTTCCTCTCTCATCTGTCTTCTCTCTTTCTTCTCTCCCTCTCTCTTCTCTCTCTCTGCTCTCTGCTCTCTGCTCTCTCTTTTCTTTCTGCTTTCTCCCTCTTTCTCTTCTCTTCTATCCTCTCTCTCTCCTCTCTCCCTCTCTTCTTTTTCTCCTCTCTCTCCTCACTCTCATATCCCTCTTTTTCTCTCTCTCCTCTCTCCTTTTTCTCTCTGTCTCCTCTCCGCTCTCTTTTCTCTCTCCTCTTTCCCTCTCTCTTCTCTCCTTTCCTCTCTCTCCTCACTCTCTCTTTTTGTCTCTCCTCTCCTCTCTGCTTTCTCTTTTCTCTCTGCTCTCTCCCTCCCTCTTTCTCCTCTCTCTCTTTTCTCTCTCCTGTCTCTCCCTCTCTCCTGTCTCTCTCTCCTCTCTCCTGTCTCTCCTGTCTTTCTCTCCTCTCCTTCTTCTCTTCTGTCCCCCCCCCCACTTCTCTAATGCCCACTTATATATAGGGTGATATCTTACTTGTCTACCCCCAAGCCCCCATTGGTTTAAGTGTACAATGTCCCTTTCTGCACATCTGGGCCATGTAGGGGTGACTCATAGGGGAATTATAGAGGTCCTTGCTGTGATCAAGACCCGTAGTGGGGGAGGTTATCGAGGAGACTGAGTCTCCAGGGAAGGAGGAACATTGCATGTGTCAGAGCAGGAGAGGAGCGGAGGCTGGGGCAGCCTGGTGTTAAAGGGCTGGTGCAGGACACCCAGACCCCAGGTTCCTGGAGGCACGTTCTAGGCTCAAGGTTCCATCGGCCCTTTTCCCTCAGGTGCAGTTATCAGAAAGTAAGCGAGAGCTGACAGAGCTGCGGTCAGCCCTGCGTGTGCTTCAGAAAGAGAAAGAGCAGCTGCAAGTGGAGAAGCAGGTGAGAACCCCTAACCCAGGCCTCAGCATCCAGAGAGAGCTCCAGTTACTCAGCAAAAATGGACTCAGGGATTGAAAACTCTGTATCTTCTTGTCATCTCTTGGCTTAGAAACCAGATTCTCTAAGAGGGCCCAGAGACTAAACGGGGGACCCTGGCACTTGTTATAGCTGCCTCTGCACAGGGGAGGAGTGCCAAGAGAAGGGAGGGAAATACCAATGGAGGAGAGTTCCTGGTAAGGGCATCTGCCTCCTGCCGTGAAGGCATCTAATCCCAAGGAGCTCAAGTTCACCAGAGCCAGGGAAGGCTGGGTAAGCCAGCAAGACGGGCACCTTCCCAGCCCCCAGCACCTGCCTCTTTCTTCCCCAAACTGCAGGAACTGCTAGAGTACATGAGGAAGTTGGAGGCCCGCCTGGAGAAGGTGGCAGATGAGAAGTGGGATGAGGATGCTGCTACAGAGGACGAGGAAGCCACAGCAGGGCTGAGTCTGTATACTCCCTGTCTTATCCACTCCCCCCACCCCCATCCCCTTTCCCTCTGGAGGAAGGCTCCACCCCATGCCCTAGGAGCTGCCTCTGCCTCCTCTGTGTTTTGCCTTTTTCCTTCCCAGACTCCAGCCCCGATTGAGTTGAACTGTCTCCCTCCTGCAGAGGAGGTATAGCTGATCCACCTGTCTCTCCTACAGGCTGCCCTTCGGCTCTGACAGACTCAGAAGATGAGTCCCCAGAAGACATGAGGCTCCCACCCTATGGCCTATGTGAGCGTGGAGATCCAGGTTCCTCTCCTGCCGGGCCCCGAGAGTCTTCTGCCCTAGTTGTCATCAGCCAGCCTGCACCCATTGCAGCCCACCTCTCAGGTCCAGCTGAGGACAGTAGCTCTGACTCGGTGAGCAATGAGGAGAGGCCTGGCAGAGGCAGCATGAAGGGGAGAGGGCCATTCCTGAGTCCTAACCTCGCCCCCTCCCATGAGGTCAGCAGGTCTGTGTCATCCAGGACTCTATCCTCAAGGGAGAGGAAGCAGGTTCAGCCTCTCTGCAGAGCTACCAACAGACCAACTTCAAACCCAGTCCAGCCCAGTATCCTCTCCGCTTCCACCAGTCTCCTTCCAAACACTCTCTGACCTTGCTCTTCCCTCAGCCACTCTGCTCACTGTCCCAGCCTTGGCTTCTCTTCCCTTACATGTCCCAGTGTGTCATGCCCCAACCTGGGAACTCCTCCCCAAAACCCTGCCCTGTCTCTTTGGTGCTCAGGAGGCTGAGGATGAGAAATCAGTTCTGATGGCAGCCGTGCAGAGTGGGGGTGAGGAGGCCAGTCTGCTGCTCCCTGAACTGGGCAATGCCTTCTATGATATGGCCAGGTGAGCACAGTGGGGGAGCACAGGAGGGAAGAGTGGGGAGAGCAGTGGGAGAGGACATCCATGTGAGCTGTGTCTTCCTACTCTGCCCCAAGCCTCCCTCTCCTTAGCCTCAGCCAAGGAAGGAGATAAACCGGGTGGTTGGCAGAGAGCCATTACCCACTGCTCCAGATCCCAGGTGCCTTCAGGTCATCTCTCCCTCTGTCTTACCTTTGCATTCAGAGGCCCTGCCTTTAAACTGGCTTCTATGTTGTTCTAGCACCATCTTCCGTGGAGCCCAAATTGCCCTGCATCCCCTCTCTTCTGCCCCTGCCCCTTCCCCAACCACTAGGTAGGTACCTAGGTTCCTTGAGGGTTGAAGGGAGGTGACCAAGGCCCCCAGGGATAAGGACTGAAAGAAAACAGGGATGTGGCATCTGTCTAGCTACATCTGAGACTGCTGTGCTTTGTGCACGCACGCGCGCACACACGCACATACACACATATACACACACACAACTGTCCCAGGAGATTCTCTCTGGGAGAATTACCAGGTTGGGGGACTCAGGTATTAAAATTACCCCCTTCTGCCTTTCTTCTTCTGCCCTGATCAAGCAGTGAGGGCCTGGGAAGGAGAGATTTTATCATGAAGCCCCTGGCTTTGCCTGGATGGGAGATGGGCTCGGGCAGGGAGGGGCCATGCTGTCATCCTCCTCAGCTGGAGCGGGAAGATGAAGGACGATGTCAGACTCATTTTCAGCCTCATTAGCCAGCAGACAGAGATGGAGGGAGGAGAGCAGGAGGTTGGGGGATGGGGTCCTGCACTACAGAGACCAGCAGGGATTCAAGAAGGGAGGACATGGGAATCAGGAAAACCAAGGCATCTAGTATCACGAAGAGAAAGATGTCACCGCAGAGGCTGGCCCGGAAGGACCAGGAGGCTGCAGTCAGGAGCCATATAATGTGGGGAGCCAGACACGAGTCCCTACTCCCTGAGACCCACCAGTCAAGAAAGCAATGGAGCACGCTGACCCTCTCCCTTTCCCCTCCATCTCTCTTTAGTGGCTTTGCAGTGGGTCCCCTGTCAGAGGCCAGCACTGGGGGCCCTGGCACCCCCCCATGGAAGGAGTGTCCTATCTGTAAGGAGCGCTTCCCTGCCGACAGTGACAAGGATGCCCTGGAGGACCACATGGATGGACACTTCTTTTTCAGCACCCAAGACCCTTTCACCTTTGAGTGACCTCACCTCTCCCTAGCACATGCACCAACATACACTCCCACACGCCCGCTCACCTCCCACCCGTGTTCTACCACACCAGGCTCCATGATACTCTGTTCCCTAAGAACCACTTGTGTGGGCCCTGTCTGCATCCCAAGCTTTCTAACTTCATCCTCTCCCACCTGGCTTTTTTGTCCCAGGCAGGGGTCGTCCTTGGAAGCAGTGGCTGAGTTGACCCCCTGAAGGCGCTTTTGAAGGAAGCCAGGATGGAGGAGACCTTCCCTTGTGGGAATAGAATCGTCCACTACTAGCCATGGTTGCTTGCTTCGGATATACAGCCACCCCCCCCACACACTCGTGAACACACACACACACACACACTCACACATACATTCATACACACTCCCCTTTCTGAGGCCCCAAAGCCAGTTCCTGGGGGTCCCCACCCTCTCCTATTTGAGGTTTGTTTGTTTACCTGAATTTTTCTCTGGGTCCTGCAGCATGAATGTCATGACCTCTTCAGACCCCTCTTAGTTCTCCGCTTTATCATTTTCTCTCTTGGTTCTCCCCCCCCCCACATTCCTTATTTCCTTCCCCACCCCACCCCAGTCCCTTCCATGCTTTCGATATTAAGTCTCACGGTTTCTTTTCTATTTTTAAGGATTCTTTTACTCTCTCTCCTGCCCTTCCCCGCCACTCCGCACCCCCCACATCCTCACATGGAAAGAAATAATGTACTTGTGCCTTCTGTGAGGGATGGGGGGGACAAGTGCTCCCAGGTGTCCCCATTTCCCAACCCTTTCCCTTTCCAGGTCTCCCACAGCAATAAGAATCTCCCCACCATTTGCCTCCTTTCTGTAGTTTTGACAAATATATTTATATGATATGTGTAAGTGTTGTCGTAAAATGTGCTGGCATCATGAGATATAACTAGGGCAGAGGGTGCAGGCTTTGGGCTCTGAGCATCCTGAGGGTGGGGAGAGACTGGATGCTTGACCTCCTACTATGTGTCCTGGTGTGCTGGCCGCCGGGACCTTCCACGTGGGAGGTCTAGCTAGGAGGACAGTGCAGGGGGGAGAGGGCAGGTGGATGGGGTCAGGGTGCAGAGGCAGGTAGAGTGCCCTGCAAGAGCCAGAAGCTTCCACTGCTCACATCGGCACTCTCCAAGATGGCTGTCCAAGGGGCATTACTCCTGAGAAGAGTGTACACCTTTGAGTTCTTAGGGTTTTTGTTTCTTTTTGTTTTTCTGCTTTTTGTTTTGTTTAAAAAAAAACAAAAAACCTTAATAGTGGCTTGCTGGTGGCTCACTGTAATCCTAGCTACTCAGAGGGCAGGAAAGTCCATGGGAATCTCATCTCCAGTTAGCCACCCAAAAGCCAGAAGTAGAGCCATGGCTCAAGTGGTAGAGTGCTAGCCTAAAGCAAAAGGGACAGCACTCTGGCCCTGAGCTTAAGCCCCAGGACCCGCACAAAAACAAAACAAAAAGCCTTAAGTGTCTGGCTCTGAAGAAAGGTGACTGCCCTTCCCTCCTTGCTTCCCTTTCTCCCTCTGTGGCATCCTCACAGACCTTTGTACAGCCTGAACTCCACAGACACAGAAACACCTTCATCCAAAGCAGCGGCATAAAGCATTTATTAAGACTGGCATGCTCACCAAGGCTCCTGAGAGGCTCCTTACCAAGCACCTGTCCATAGCCCCCTTGCTTTCCATCGCCAAAGCTCCCTTATCAGCCATCCTCCATTCCCTTTAAGACCCTTGAGTGGACCAACACTACCATCCTCCATCTCCATTTACCTGGAGCCCTCCTAGCTACCCCCCTTCCAGCCCCACCTGGATGACATCTTACATCCTTCCTTCTTCCCTCACATCTCTGTCGCCTAGCAACCCCATCTCGTTCCCTGAATCCCTTCCAAGGAAATTAGAGATAATGGATCTCTACTCTCTCCATCTCAACCTCTCTTTATTGATCCTCCTTTAATGAAAGTTAATTATAACAATGATTTAATTAATAGAATCCCTCTCTTCCTTTATTGCTTCCCGTATTAAGACTATTAATAAATACGAGCTGGGCTGACAGAGGCATCCATCACCCGCCTGGGATTCCCCCCATCCCTCCTTTTACCCTCCCCCAGACCCCTCCCTCTCTTAGCCTATAAACTTGCCGGGGTAGTGGGGGTTAATCAGAGAGGAATTATGAGCCAACAACCCCAGCAGGAGGTGCATTTAATGAAATCACTTGTGATTTATATCTGAAGGAGGTTGGGAGGGAAGAAGCTGGGACCCACACATCCTGGCTTCCAGGAGGATGGCCCCCTAGTGCAAAGGAAGGAGAGAGAAGCAGGGGCTCAGGACCCACAGCCCCTGCTAAGCCACCTACACAAGAACCAGGAGGCTAGATGCTCTGCCTGGAGCCCCTAATGTAGAGGCAATCAGACTGAATATGCTTTCAAGGATGGCAGGGTACGTTTTTGTTCTCATCAGCAAAACTTTACGTGGTGGTCCTCACCTCCTTCCTTTCTCCCTAGCTCTGGCTTGCTTCAATTTCCCAAATCAGTTCCAGAGTCTTCCTCCATGGACTCCCCCTTCCCCAGTCCCTGAACTCCCCCAGCAGGGATATCTAGAGCTTCCAGCTGTTCCTGTCTCTCTCTGCCCTCTTGCGTCTTTTTCTGGTGAGCAGTTTCACACTTTCACATCCTCACAAGCTTGGAATCATTTCTGCTGTTTCCACATGATTTACCTCAGGTGGTCAAGGCATGGCCTTACTGGAGAGGGGTACTTGGGGTTGGGCAGGGAGGGAAGACAAGTGGATTCCAATTGCAGTTCTGCCTCATGCACTGCGTGGTATTTGACAACTGCCTTTTCTACTGATTTCCCTTCTGCATTAGATCATCTCCCTCCCTCCTGGTTCACTGCTTCTGTGCAGAAGCTTGAGAATCCAGTGTGAAAGCAGAAATCAGACCCCATAACCACTCATGGCTGGTGGTTAGCAGTAGAGCAGCTGCTAGCAAAAATCAGTACATAAATAATAAGATAGAACTCATTAACCAACTTTAAAAAACAACTAAACATCAGTAGCACTGAAGTGCAGTGTGTGGCTTGAAAACAGGATGTGGTGTTAGTTGGGACAGGGGGGCTCTGTATTAAGAAAGTTTACAGTGATCTTTATGGGCCAGGTTCCAGGAAGTAGAAATGGAATTGATAATAACCCTGTTGTCAGCTTGCTCTTGATGTACATTACCAAACACATGGAAGCAAGACAAATGTCACTTTAGAGGTAGGCTCTGGACTAGAGAAGTGCTTGAGATTAGGGTAGACAAAGGTGACTATGTGAGCCTGTGTCCTCTTTTTGTTTTGCTGCTGCCTTCTCCTTTTCCTTCTTTGTGGTGCCAGGGATTAAACCCAGGTCTCGCACTTGCCACAACTCTACCATTGAGCTATATCTCCAGCCCTTGTTTTTGTTTTGTTTTGTTTTGTTTTGTTTCTTTGAAACATAGGGTCTACCTATATAGCTCAAGTTGATCTTGAACTCACGTAACTCAAGCTGGCCTCAAACTTAAAATCCATCCTCTGCTTCCCAAATGCTGGCATTATAGATGTGTCACATGTACAGCTTTGAGTCTTAAAGGATAGGTAGATATGAGCCTACCACATACAACTAGAAGGAACCCTCAGAAATCTGAACCCTCAGGGAGGACCACTGAGGATCCAATCTGTGGGAAGTGAGGTGGAACAGCAATGCTATGTCAGCAATGCTGACATTGCTCATATGATAACTCCCCAAATAGTACTTGGGTGCCCATTGTGTGAAGGGGCTGTTCTAGGCTGAGGAACCTGCATGAACAAAACAGGAATGCCTACCCTCATGCAACTTCTACTCTATTGCCAGCTCACTCAAGTCTGAAGAAACCAGTTATGAACCTATTGTAATAACCCAGGCAAAAATGGTACATATCAAACTTTAGGATGCAGAATTAATGGGACCTGGTGATAATTAGCTGTGTCAAGTACACACTGGAGTCAAGGTGAAGTTAGGATTTCTCATTTCAATGACCAGATAACTGATGACATCATTAACTGACTAAATAATTTAAATTGACAAATACATGTGAGAAAAACGCAAGCAGTACCATTTTGGCTTGCAGAATTCCCAGTGTTTGGAGCTCTTCTGGAGAAGAAAGTGGTCACGTAGGCAAGTAGGTAGATATTTGAGGTCAAAGTTTGGAGGTAGAAATAGAGATTTATATCTCAGTCTGAGGCTAGAGGTATTACTCGAGTGGTAAAACACCAACTATAAGCAAGCTGAGCAAAAGGGTTAGCCCCTGAGTTCAAACTTCAGAACTGGCATTAAAAACAAAAACAAAAAGCCTCAATGGTAGCCAAGCATGGTGACACTTGCCTGCAATCCCAACTACTCAGGAGATGGAAATAGAAAAATCAATCTGAGCTAGGTACCGGTGACTTACACCTGCAATCCTAGCTACTCAGGAGACTAAGATCTGAAGATTGTGGCTCCTGGGCAGGAAAGTCTGTGAGACTCTTAACTCCAATAAACTACTCAAAAAAGCCAGAAGGGGCGCTGTGGCTCAAGAGGTAGAGCACTCTCCTTAAGCAAAAGAAGCTCAGGGAAGAAGCCCAGACCCAAAGTTCAAGCCCCAAGAACAGCAAAAAAAAGAAAAAAGAAAAAAAAATCAGTCTAAGGCCAATCCCAGGCCAAAGCACAAGCCCTATGTGAAAAACAAATTTAAAAAGTTTAAAAATCCCTGACAGTAAAGGTGATGAGAGTGAAGAAAGAAACCATCCAAGTTCTCATACATGTAGAATAAGAGCAAGAAGGCCAACCTGAAAGGGAAAGGGGGAGATGATCAGAAGGAGGTAGGAAGCAACTCAGGAGAGAAGAGGGTGGAGGAGAGAGAGCAGCAGCCATTGCAGGAGAGACCAGAAATGACTTCTAGAAACCCCTGGGTTAGCAGCAAGGACTCACTGGTGGCTGAGACCAAGAACTCCGAGCAGAGTGTTGAAGGTAATTGTCACTGCAGAGTGGGATTTCACAGAGCCTGCAGTAGATACACATTTCTATCTGAAGGAATTGGAAATGTCTTGAGACTCACATAAAAACAAGGGCTTGCCAAGAGCCAGTGGCTCATGCTTGTAATCCTAGTTAGGAAGCTAGGCTTTAAGGATCATAGTGCAAAGCTGGCCTGGGCAAGAAAGTCAATGAGACTCTTATGTCCAATTAATCAGCAAAAAGCTGAAAGTAGAGGTGTGATTAAAGAGGCTGAGCACCAGCCTTGAGTGAAAAAGCTAAGAGATAGCACCCAGGCTCTGAGTTCATATCCCAGTACTAGCGTACACACGTGCTTGAGGCTGAGCT